CAAATGGTTTCAACCATAGCTGAGCTGCAGAAAGTGAGCCATGTATTTCACGGGCTAATACAAATGGGACTGGGAGTCCCTAATGCCTTCTTTGAATGCACCCCAGAACTGCCACAGCAGACACATAATCTAAGCTGTAACAGCAGCTGAGTATTTTTTAAACAAAAATATTTTGAGAGATAATTCTACAAAGAATATAGCAATGGTAACTAGCACATAGGACATTATGAATAGGCCCTAATGTCTTTTTTGTCAGATTAGATATAGTGGTGTACAATCATTTGTATTCCCAGCCCAGTACTCCTCATTAGTACTACACTTACTGGCTTTTCAAAGCATTAAACAAATGCTTTTAGCACAACAGCTCACTTCATTGCCTGGTGTTCAATGTGATGGCATGTGCCTGGAGCACAGCAGGACCATTCCCATACTACTTCACAAGTACAAGCTCCCAAAGCTGAGTTTGGACCCAGATCCCATAACCTTGGTGAAGTCACCTGCAGCTGGCTCCACCAAGGAGACAGAAGTGCTCCAGTGCTTCATTTTAGGCTAATTCACATGCAATGGGATATTCAGCCTTGAGATGGGCACTGCTGCTTACCTGCACAAAAGTGCATTTCAGAGCTGTTCTCAAAAGTTATGAATGATGCTGCTGTGAACATTTGTCCAGACATAATATTCTAGAATATTAAACTCAGATTGAAGATTTAACAAATCACTCTATGGATGCATATGTGTTCTATTGCTCAGTGCTGACAAACAGCAGGACAGTCGCCAGCATCATCAAGGGCAAATGGCCTGAAGTTGTGCCAAGGGAGGTTGAGGCTGGATATGAAGAAAACTGTCTTCACTGAAAGCATTTTTAAGCATTGGAACAGCCTGACCAGGAAAGTTGTGGAGTCACACTCCCTGGAAGTGTTCAAAAAACAAGCAGACCTAGTGCTTTGTTATATGGTTTAGTGGGCATGGTGGTATTTGGTCAAAGTTTGGACTTGAAGACCTTGAGGATTTTTCCACCCCTAATTGTTCTATGATTATTTTGCATTCTTGCAAGGAGATTCCAAATCCAAGAAATTTCTCATGCCGATCAAGAATTAAATGGAAACAGACTCCAACAGTTTGACAGCACCAACAGTAAAAACAATTGCCAGACACTAGAGCTACCATATGTGGCGGTTGTGTTATGTTTGGAGAAACTCTATCAGAGAACCAGCTACTTCACAGCTTTGTTCTCACGTTCTGTTAGCACCCTGCAGTCTCCTAAAATTCCTGCTAGAGAATAAAAGTATTTTATTCATAGCTACCCAACAAAAAACAGATGAGGTACTCTCTCACTGTTCACAGTGTGAGCATAATGCCACTGTAACATTTTACTGTCAGAATCTAAAACCACCTACTCATTCCCACACAAGAAATCAAAACCAAACCAACTCATCCTACATACTAACAAAGTGTACAGAAGAAAAACTTAACTACATATTCCCAAAGACACACAGGCAATAACCAGATGTCATGGAGAACTGGATGACCAAACGTCCTTGAGGACACAGAACACTAAGCCCTGCTCTTGAGGATTCAGCCCCACTCCAAAGGGCTCTATGGGTTTTTTTCTAAAAGATGCCTTGATTAGCAAAGGTGTTTATGCTGTCCCCAGACAGCATCCTGCCTATGAACAGCCAGAAAATACAGAATTGATGTAATCTGCTTCTCCACTGTCTTCTATCCTATCTGCCTGGCAGAATTAGGGTGCAAGCTAAAATTCCCAGCTGACATGGTTAGACAAACATGCCACAAGCTTCAGAAACAGCTGCCTGTTAAGCTTCCCTTTGGAATTCATGGTCCACCAGAAAAACAGCAAGGCAATTATGTGCCCATACCTAAAAGTCACTAGCTGGAATTTGGTTAAGTGGATTACAATGAAACATGGATATGTGGTTGTGGAGAGCCATTCTCCTCCAAAACTGCAGCTTTCCTCCACAGAAATGTTTCTATATCCTGAAATTAGAACTCTCTAATACATAGAAATGTTATGGGGCCTTCTGCAGAATCCAAAGAAGAGGACAAACCTGTATTTGTTTAGCCCTCAAAAAACATTTTTAATCCTTTTCCTTAATCTAAAGCAATTTTCTAGAACAACTTGGAGAAGCGTTGAATGATATATTGTATCATGCAATGAAGTACCATGCAATGTACCTAAGTACAGCATGTTCAGCCTGTTTTGATGTATCAAAAATGTTCAGTCAAGAGTTAACAGGCTGCCTCATACTTCCAGTGAAGACAATTTATTTACCACTAGCTAGAAATTGCAGTTCAGAAGCAGTTTCCCACTTTTTGAAGGGAATACAGAACCAACAGGGTAATACAAAAAATCAGTTTCTATTGTATCACTATATACCCACTAATGGCAAACTGAATTTTTATTAAAATTTTTTCTGGAAAGAAACCTGCAGTAACAGTAAATCAGATGGTGATAGTATATAAAAAAATACCACTTGTTCTGATATGCCACATTTTGTACCTTACACTGTGCAGTACCTTATTACACAGCTTGATGTGAGCACCAATTCTCAATGAAATAAATTTAATGAGAATTAAGTCCCTAACTACCCTTAGCTATTTTCACCTCTAAACCAAAGGAGAAGCAATACTTGGGAGAAAGAGATACTATACTACATCAAGAAGTGTGTGAAAATCTGACTGTTAATTTGAATTTGAATCAAAATAGATTCTGAATCTATAGATTTTAGGGGTTTTTTTTCCTATCAGATTATTGATTTATTCAGTATTCCTAGTTTTGCCAGTTTTATGAATGCAGCATTTTTCAAATGCAAATGTACTTTCAGATATAGTTGTTCTTCAAAGCACTGTAATCCTATTGACCATCTTCTTGACAAGTGCCCCACAACAAGCTGGATATGCCTTTATCTTTGGCAGAACCGGGATAATATATCATAGCCCATATGTGTTCAAGTAAGAACGAATTGAACAGATACGTTTATGTATGAAATGTTTAATAAATGTCAAAATTCCTATCTAACTTTAATCAATGCTGAAAGCTGACCAATTATACAGAGGAAATGTTTACACAAACAAAACAGCTGCATAGCCCAAAGTATTCAGTACTAGTATGAAACTTACACAAGTATCAAGTACTGGTATGAAACTTACACACATACATAAAATGTTATGGAAAACTGTTTGAATGGACCTTGAGGGGAAAAAAAATCCCAAATGAAAACTCTGCTGGACTTGTTTCTGAAACTAATTAATTCCTTCACTAAAACACTTCTTGTGTCAAGCTCCTGTCTCAGTGTGCCCTGGTTGCACAGGTACCAAAAGATTGCCCATGGAAAGGGCACACAGAGACAAGGCACCTCCCAGCAATCTACATATGCCACAGCTCTTTTCAGTGAGTTCCAACCCCAACCTGACACCAACTTCCTCATCAGCCTTGGACAAATCATCTGAGTGGTTCTTATTTATCCACCTGGTGTGGGATTGTAAGGGAAAATGAATGCTTGCTGAGTGCTCAGTGACAGAAGTGTGCACTTGTGTTCCACACACTTTTACTGGTCCTACTCCTACCATTCTGTCCCTCAGTCCAAATGGTGACATTTTCATTATGAATATAAAGGCAGGAATAAAGCCAGAGCATATGGCACTTCATGGCTGAACAGTGTTTATAGAATTGCATTTCACAGCTAGCATGTGACAAGCACACTTGTCAAAACCTGGTTAACCTGTATATTCACCTCTAATGAATCTTCATGACCTTGCCATATACAGTTTTATACTGGATAGGGTTTGAAACTTTAAATTATTTGCTTAATTAAGCTTAAACTTTAAAAATAATGTCCCTGGCCCCTAGCTGTTTCTGAAAAAAACCAAAACAAACACAACGCAATCTTCAGAAATATTTCATAGAATAAAAAAGCATGGAGATTGCAAGCTGGTTTATAACCTTAACATTTGCAGGACCATTTGTTTCTAATTCAGCTAAGATAAATAATGTCAAAAGTTTTCACTTTTATAATGAATGTGACAGTCTTTAAAAATGTTTTTTTTCTTTTTAATTCATTCATCATAATACCTGCTCATCTATTTTTTCCTCAGTGCAACTATCAGTACTTCACTTACTCAAAATTCACCAGTAACAAATGCTTGTCTGTTACCCTGGAAATCTGGATTAAAAAAAAAAAAAAAAAAAAAGAAGAGGGGGAGAGGGTTGTGAATATTAGCAGCAACTTGAGGAATAAATGGCATTTGCTGCTCTCTAAGAAGTTTTCCTAGAAGCTTCAAAGATTCACTCACACAGTTCACTGTAATGTTTTAGAATTTGCCACAGAAATTAAATTTGAGTACTTTTGACTTCTAGAAACGGTGTTCTGCTGCCCTCACTAGCAGACACATTTTTCTTTAGCTACTTTCTTAGCTACAGGAGTTTCTCTGCCCAGTGCCTCCACAACAGCACTGCAGGATGACACATAACTGTGTATATGATGCCCTCTTCATCTCCAGGGCAGCCCTACCAAATTTATGTAAACCCATACTGATCTACTTACCTGGCCACTATTTCTAAGCTAGGCTGGGAAATGTGCCAGTTTAGTGAGTCTCTGAATTTATATTTCACATATTCTGATGATAAGGCAGCAATTACTGTTGCTAATACCTCACTATTCAAACAAGGATCTATTTTAAAGTAGAGCGACTCAGTCACAGCATCAGGCTCACTTCAAACTCAGGCTGATACCACTGCATAAACAAAATATGCCTGATCTTTCAAAGATTTCTTTGGAATTCTAATAACAAACAAACCAAACTAAACCAATCTAAAAATCAGTAGAATAACTGTTCCCTTATATCAGTTTTTTTTTACTTCCCATCCTTTAGGAAACATGCTTTTGAAAGCCATAAAATGAAGGCTATTCATCACTGAAATGTCGTGTTGTCACTTTTTCAAAAGCCTCCCACAGAAAGACAGACAATGTAAGATGTCAGAGTAAAGTCTTTGCTTAATCCAATTAGCATTTAAATATTTTAATCAATAAAATATGACAATTAGACTGGGCTAGAAGCCAACTCCCTGAGAGCCACGCCTTTTGTCACACATAGTCTTACTTGCACTGTTGTGTTACAGAACAGTAGTAAACATATCAGAACAGTAAATATCCATGACACAATTTGGGAGCTGTATCAACTTAAAATCTTTATCTTCTATGGCAGCAAAAGGAGCAACCAAAAATCAACAGCAAATAATAATTTCCTGGAGACTGGGCTGGTTATGATATATTTAAGATGCATGTGACCCATCAGCCAGCAGAAAATGGCAAATGCGAGTTCTATGTGTTTGCATGTGACCTGAAACAGTTAAAATACTGATAATTGAATCATCAGCACCATGATGACACAGAAAACAAACCCTGCTCAACATTTGTTTTCCCAATGGCACTCGGCAGATGAGCACACAGCAAGTGCATTTGCTGGAAGTGCTGATGCCTAATGAGTCACTAACATTGCTAAGTTCAGTTTGCATCTTTTAGTGCAAAGAGAGAGACAGAAAGGAAGGAGTAGTTTTGAGAAGTTTTCTACTAGAAAGCCAGTCTGAAAATGGCTGCCTAAACTAATTAGATAGTTATTTGGTCATTGAGTCACCAGTGCCTGAAAAATCTACTTGCTTAAAAATCTACTTGTTTATCACAAATGTTAATCACAAATGGCATCAAGGCAAAAAATCAAATGTCAGTAGTGCCTTCCTGAACCACATAACAAAGTAACCTTTTACTAGCAATACCCACATGGAGAATACTTCATGCATCTTTCTTCTTGGCAAGACATCAGATTCTTTCAGGTTCCTTGAACACAGCTTTTTCTGTTGTCCTGAAGTGCAAGAAGTAAGCCCTCCCTGTCAACAGAGCACTTGCATTTTCTGCATTAGACAGACATGATGAACACACGTTCTGCAAAGTCAACTATGGCCCCTCCCATAAAAGTTGATAAAAAACCAGTTTCCTGATGAATTTCAGAGACAACTTCATCCATAAAAGCACACATCTGAGAGGAAGACAAGCAGTACAAAACCAACTGGTCTTCATATGAGGCACAGCTATAAACCTCACAAGAAGAAAAATAAACACTTGGGTCTGTTATTTGTAAGGGCAGCCACCAGGCTTTCTTGTACTGTCCAACCAGTTCTGCTGACTGGGAGAGCAAAAATACTTTAGCTTAATAGCAAACCTCAGCTGTGATGCAGCAATGTTTTCATTCTCTCATGATATTCAAGGAGAGTTTTCCTGTCACTACTATTCCCTTTTGCATCTGGCCACGTTTATTTTCTAAACCAGTGATCTAGTGAGAAACTCATAAGCAAAAGAGGTATGTTCATGCTCCCATGCTGAACCAGGGCTCATTGAATAGACAGTTCTATTAAGCAACTGGTAGGTCAGTGCCAAAAACCACTCTTGGATTCTTCAACAGCCAAAGCCAATGACAGAAAAAGGCACATATTTAGGCCATATATACTTATACAAAATCAAGAAGCCCAGCTCCAATCCAAGAAAAGCAATGATTTGTCAAGGGGAATTCTAAAGACTTTGGTAGCTCCAGAATTTTATTCACAGCACAGAGGCCCTATCATAAAGTAAATTTTGTCATTATAGATGTAAAGAGCTTGTCTCCTGGCTATCATCTTTCAATGAATAATGAATCTCTCATGCTGGGGAACCAACTTGTGTATCTAGAAACCTTACAGCTTTGTATTAGGAAAATAAAGCAACACAGTTCACTGCACCACTTTGAACAGCTGTGTTCCAACTTTTGCATATAGCTTTAATGACCACTGATAATACAAAGGCACCAGCCATTCTTGCCCAGGACTGTGGAAAGACTGGCAGAGGGTAACGGCCAAAGCATCTCTGGGTGGAGCAGAGCTGGAAGATTTGTACAATCTGAGGCACTGCAGAGAGATGAGCTGATGACAGGAGTGATGCCAGAACAAGCAGGTGCAACAGACTTGCCATTTGAAACCTGCACATCCTATTTTGCCAAAAAAAAAAAAAGGATGATTTTAGTGCAAGTCTGGGCCATTTTCAAGAAAAACTGAATGCAAAGTGGACAGTGACGTTGTTGTACAGAAGACAAAGTCTTTCTGGTTGTTATTCTGCTGATGAAGGAACAGAATGGACCAAAGAGGGAAAAACCACCACATTTTACAAGAAAACAATTACAACAATCTTAATGCTTTGGAACAGTATTGCCAAATGATAATTCTTGGATGGTCCCTTCTCCAGCTTCTGCAGCAGGAAGAGCAGGGTTAAAAAAATAAAACAACAGGGGAATGAATGGGAGAATACCCTGACACAACAAGGACCCTTCAACAGCTCCTGTTTAATTTTCAGCTGATTGGCTTCTCCAGGGACAGTGACACTATGTAGCTAATCTGTTCTCTTCGTACTCTGCACCAAAATGCAGAGTACTTGCATTGCTTACTCTTAGCTCAGTAAAAGTTCTGGCCAATGAGCACACAAAGAAACAGCAAGGACAGTATATACTAAGAATTCAGCAGTACCAAGGAAAATTCTAATCCTACTAAATTTGGCAGCACAAATCTCTTATGTAACCTGTGATTTAGAGGACAGGCTGATCATCTGGGAATATTACTGTGTTCTTCTCAGTACATTAAACAAAATTGGCAATTTTTCATTACAAATTTTGTTTTTCACTGCATAATGTCTCAGGAAAGACATCCCATGCTTACAAAACATTTTTAGCATCAACAATATGCTTTTATATATGACAATTCAATTATACAGAGGGTGTATATAAGTTTAATAGCTACCCTTAAGTACTTCTCTGCCAAGGCTGCCTTGAACTGTGGTACATCTCTGAGGTTCAGGCTTGTGATCTACATTTAAAGCAGTGAGACCTCAAAATAATGCTTGGAAAATGAGCTTTTCTGAAAGTTGAGTGTTATATCAGCAAAATTTACAGATCTCTGAACTGATACTCTCATGAAGCTGAGGAGCTTTGAGAGCTACAGATGAAAGATCCTGAGCATGTAAAAACCACCAGAAAAACAGAAGACTATGTATCCACCATTAAAAAAAAAATCAAAACGAAATCAAAACCTGTCTTTTTACAACAAAAACAGATTCTAACATGAAAAAGCAGCTGTCCAGTATTAGGACAAATGTAAAAAATAGGACAAATGTAAAAAAGCTCAATTGACAAAAAAATTATGAATCAAGCACCACATTATTTAAATTCCTGTTGTTCTTCAATCTTCAATACATCCTTCAAAAAGAGGAATTAATTCAATGCCAATATTTATAGAGTGCAATAACCATTCAATTCATGCCAATTCATTCAAGAATTATGTCATGCTTTTGAAATAGAGATACTGGCCAGTTTTAGGAAGAGAAGTTTTATTCACAGAATAACAAAAAACAATCAATCCTATAGCACATATCCATAAAGGGTGAAGAGTTCAGGGATTATTGGAGAACCTGCCATCTGAAATTGTCACACACACTGCTGATAAGATTTGCTGCGAAACTTGAAGCCAATTGCAGACATTTTGTTCTCACCCATATAAAGAATGTGTCATAGAGATATACACTAATATGGGAATTCCTTGATGTGTTTGAAAACAAGTGACCAACGCCAAGTTATCACCAGCTAGCTAACCCATGTACCTCCATGCAGTTGTTACAGTAGGAGAAGCTTTTGCAATAAAAAGCAGCAGCATTCCTCTCTTTGGGGAGGCCCAGCTCATTCCACTATCCTGACAAAGCTTCTCAGCAAACACAAAATGCCAAAAATAATTACCTCTTCAGCAACTGCATGGCAGGAAGGCAACAACAAAGAGGATAACTGTAAGCCCAGTGTTCTTCATTTTGCCCTACAGAAGGAACAGCAATTTTTTCAGTTTCCATTAGTTATGTAGTTTTCTCTGTAATAATATGAGAACAGAAAGGAACCCAAAACAGAATCTGTTCATAGGGAAATTCCCATTGATAGTTTTTCTGTTACAGTTGAAAGACAGTTGCAGAAGCATGAAATTGCCAACAGGAGGATGCAGGGGAGTAAACACTTTAATAGGTCTAGTAAAAACCTCACCATGCATTAAGAATTAATAATTCTTTGCCCTAAATTAAGAATGAACTAAAAATTAACCATGAATTAAGAATGAATAATTCCTTTTCTTAAAATACATGCAAAGGAGTAATTATTATGCTTCATAACAGGAATTACTTTAATATGTAGACACTAAGCAAAAGACAAAAGAATTGCAGAGCCACAGTCAGCCTCTCATGTTCAGAGACTGACTCCTTGTATCAAACCAGAGCTGGAAAGCAGGAAGCCTGCTTTGATCTTTTAAATTTGACATGTATACAAGCAATTACATCACAGAACTCAAACCCAGTATTTAAAAGACAGACTACCATAGGATATTATGAGACTGAGATATTTAGAAATTGATGCCCATTATTTTATTGCCTTGGGCCACCTGATACCATATGTAAAGTCTCCTTGGGGGCTAACAAGGGAATAGCTGATCAGTCCTAAAGCCTGTGCTGGTGTTGGATGGGGTGGAGTTCGTTTTCTTCACTGTTAGTGGGTTATTGGGGCTGTGTTCTGGATTTGTGCTGAACACAGGGTCGATAATACAGAGATGTTTTTGTTATTGCTGAGCAGGCTTACACAGAGCCAAGGCCTTTTCTGCCTTTTGCACTGCCACAATGGGAAGGAAGCTGGGGCTGTCTGGGAGACTGGGAGGAGACAGCCAGGACAGGTGACCCCAACTGACCAAAGGGATATTCCAGACCATATGACACCATGCTCAGTGGATAAAGTGGGAGGAAGAGGAGGAAGGGGGGACATTCTGAGTGATCAGTTTGTCTTCCCAAGAAATTATAATGGGTGATGGGGCCCTGCTCTCCTGAAGATTGCTGAATACCTGCCTGCCCATGGGAAGCAGTGAACTAATACTCTGTTTTCCCTATTCAATTGTCTTTATCTCACATTTCCAGGATTTTACCCTTCTAATTCTCTCCTCGGTCCTGATGATGGGAGAGTGAGGGAGCAGCAGTGGGGCTTGGTTGTTGGCTGGGGCTAAACCACAACAATGCCAAAGAAAGAACTGGCAGGACAACACACCAGATTTCACTAGCTTAAAAATTTGTGATTTAAGCAACCATACTGTAGGCAGAAACAAAATACAACAAGACAATTGCATTAAAATCTGAAGAGCAAGGTCATAATAGTTTGGGATGAGAATAATCATAAATACTTATAGGCATACAATTAAATGAAGATACTTTAATGAGTTGATGCAAGTTCGTATTTTATACATCTACCAAACATTACCATGAGACAAGCAGAAGACTTGTGATAGGGAAAAAAAGTATTCATCTTAAAGATCTCTGTTCTGATGGTAATCTAGTTTCAACCCATCCACTTGGATATTCTCCTTCCCTTTGAACTCTAACAGTTGCTGAAAGCCATTACCTTTAAATACCAGTCAATATTAGTGCTAAAACAACAATAAACAAATATTATGTACATTTTAGGCAAGCAGGCTGTCTTTACCTCTCATTCCAAGTACTATCATCCAGAAAGTAATATTCACAAATCATTTCAGAGAAAAGTTACTGTACAAAGACACAGAAGGTAAAGTTCATAAAAAGACTAGTCAGTACAATTAGACAGACGTTTGCTTGTAGTTCTTCGTATCCAAGACCTTCTTGCCACACATTGAGCAGATGCCTATAAGCACACAAAAAGTGTGTAAATGATTTTAAAATTATTAAAATCTTTTCTCAAAAACACAGTTACTATGTTTTTGTAAGCATCTTTCTCACGAAATTGTTCAAATGAGCTCTTATTAACAATGTATCTGTTCTCAGACATGTTCTCAATAGATACTACAAACTTAGAAGTAATATTGTAGCTTATAATACAAATTAATATGTGCAGCATGTGAGTAATCCTTCCTCTGAAGAAAACAGGCTCTATTTTGAGAGCATTATCATTCACAATACTGCTGGAAGCCTCTATAATTTGCTGGAATGCCTGAAGAGAGCCAGGAAAGGCTCACTTCTGACCAAAAGGTAGAAATGGTGTACTGTTAATCATTTTAAGTCGTGTACACAAACGAGGCCTGAGATGGGCAGACAGTAGCAGGACTAAGAAAACACAGTCACCAACAAACTGACTGCTAAATGGGGCATTCACAGGTGGGGTGCTTTGGAGAACTGTGGAAGTTTAGAACATGTTTTCATAGAATTAAGGTATTTATAGAGCAGAAGTGTAAAACAATGAACACCAAGAATACTTGAGAGTTGAAGTGATGAACACTGATGTCCCAAAGTACTTTGTCCTAAACTCTAAGAGTGTCAAGTCAAAAGACCAGAGTACCAAAATGTACACAAGTTGGGCAGAAGGGTGGGTTGTCTCAATCTTTCCCTCTCCTTTCAAAGCAGAAAGGTGCTAAGTCTTTTATCTGGTAGGACCACACCTCAATTTACACAAACATTCACCTGCAGACAAAAAATGGCATCTACTGCTGCTTTCTCCAAATTGTGTGCTTTCATATACTGACATCATGACTGGACATGTATCTAGCAGTCCATTAGGGAAGAGAACAGCAGGGAACATGGCACATTATTTACTCTGGAGACCAAAATTCAGCCCACTAAATACTGACTTCAGGTTTAAACTGAGGATTAATTAACTTGAGATTGCCTCTCAATTTCAGAGATATGCAAAGCTGAAGCACTGAGCTGTATAACTGCATTTGCTTCAAGAAGTATATCCTAATGACATCTTTGATGGTCAGAGCTAGAACCTTAATTAAAAAAGTTCTTAATTTTATGAAGATAACAGGTTCAGCCTGGAAAGATACACAAACAGACAAAGATCAAATTCTGAAGCCCACCCAAACCAGACATAAATTTTAGAATGAGTACAAGGTTCTACAGCATGGGATTCAGGCAGCTGTCTGTGGAGGACCCAGCAGGCAACATTCCTACAGCAGGCTGCTAAACCACTGACACAGTGACACAGCACAGTTCACCTCGTGCTATAAGAACTCTTCGGCAGTAAGTCATGTAACTGACTTCATGATGCTTTTTTCCATCCAGGAATTTTAGATTTAGCTATTATAAAAATGGGAGAGGAGAGAAGGGACCAGAAAAGAGACTGCAACAAGCAACTGAGTTTTAGAAGACCTGGGGTTTTTTGGGATTTTGAGGAAAATCAAACTTGTTAGATGACAGTTCTCTAAGCAATTGCCCAGATTAAGTTTCTAAATGTACCACTTCAGACATTCTAAAAGAAGCAGAATTACAGAATGACAACAGTTTAAAAGAATCTCCTTCAGTCTCTAGTCCTGCTCCACTCGAAACAGCCAACTTGGATAAGGCTGGCTCAGGACTGTTCAAGCCATTCTCTGAATACCTGCTGTAAAGATTCCACAACCTCTGATGGTTCCTGCTACCAGAGTATTTGATCACTCCCAGACTGAAAAATTGCTTTCCTTGTATTTAATTAGAACTTTCCACATTCTAACCTGTGTACATTATTTCTTATTCTATTACTGTGTACCTAAAAGTCTGACTCCATGTTCCCTGTGCCTGTCTATCAGTAGCTGAAGATAGCAATTAAATCTCATCTTAATAAAAAAATACAAATTTAAGTGTTGTACTTCTCTTCATAAATACAAATTTAAGTGTTGTACGTCCTCTCTTGTCCCAACCCAAACCGTGGTATTTTGGCACTCAGTGAAACTCACCTTTTTTATAGGCACATCCTTGACAATAGTGGGACCCTGGCTGGTGGACAGAACTCTTACAAATCCGACATATTGCAAATTTGTTCTTTCCATAAGGATCAAACCTGGGAAAAAGGAAAAATATTTTATTTATGCTCCTTGAAATTAAGTCTTTTTTCTGCCTCATCCTAAAAAGTCTAAGCCAGAGGGTGCAGTCAGAAACTACAGCAAAAACTGTAATTTAGAAAAGGGACCTACAATAATTATTTCTAATAAGCTACACAAAGTATGCAGAAAAGCTCCCACTTTCCCTATTAAGAGACATTTCTTCCATCACAGACAACAACTTCATAAAAGCAGAACTAAAAATGCTTATTTTTATTAAGATACTACATGACTTTGAACTTAAACTCTTTCCTTGGCCCTTGCAAACAGAAAGTCCTGCAGACATGAAGGAAATGCTCAAGAGATTATCCTGGCAATCTTAGCACAGAAAGTAAGTATTCTCAGCTTCTGTCCTACAACAGCATCAAATCCTAGCAAATCCAGTGAGAACTGCAATAAAATACTCCATGACTGAGCCGAAAGCACCCATGAAATACGTATGGACATATTTTTACCAACAAATCAAATACCATAATCCTTGCAATTTTAATTTATGAAGTGTATTTTGGACAAGTTTGGAGTGGTTGCCTAGCTATGCAGGAAACAGGCTCAGTTAGTTTGCTAACTGATGTTTTTGGCCAAAATCAGTGTTAAGTACTAACCTTGCCTTCTTTGAGGTCAACGCCTTGTTTTCATTTAATTTACGACCACCGCTTTCTACAAAAAAAAAAATCAATAATGCTGCTCCAGGCATACTTTAGAAATCTTAATTTACAACTTTTACACATATGCAAATAAAGTCACAAAGAGAGATAAAATATTCAGCACAGCATTAGGGGACAGGGTAACAGAACACTTTATGCTCCATTTAAATACTCTACGTATTGTCCTCCCATGCAAGAAGGAAAAAAACAGAAAACAAAACCAGACAAATTCAATACGAAAGAGTTCTGGGCAAATAAATTTCCAATGCATTAAATCAGTGTGGGAGGGAAAGTACATGACTTAATATTTAACCTGAGTAGTAATATAAAGTTTTGGACTTAAGATGGTAACAGCTCAGGTGCCCAGGTGGCTTTCTAATACCTCAAAAGCAAGCTGCTAAACCTTGCTGAGGTTACCTGTAGTGTTTCTTGCACCATCTTTCCATGTATCGGGAGTGATCACCGTTCCGAGCTTCTTCTCGCCTACATACAGAAACATTACAAAGGAGAAAAAGAGAAGCATGGAGTCACTCAGGTGGGAAAAGCCCTCTGAATTCATCGATTCCAACCTGTGACCAATCACCACCATGTAATTGGACCTTGGCACCAAGTGCCATGTCCAGTCATTCCTGAAGCACCTTCAGGGACGGTGACTCCATCACCTTCCTGGAGCTCATTCCCATGACTAGGAAGAAATTCTTCTCAATGTCCAATCTAAATGTCCCCTGGCCTGGTTTAAGACAATGTCACCCTGTGCTGTGGCTTGTTGCCCAGCAGAAGAGGCCAATCCCCACCTGGCTACAACCTCCTTTCAGGGAGTTGAAGAGGGCGATAAGGCCATCCCTCAGCCTCCTCCTCTCCAGACTAAACAACCTCAACACCCTCGGCCTCTCCTCACCAAACCTTGTGCTCCAGACCCTTCACCAGCACTGCTGCCCTTCTATGGACCCTGCTCCGCCACCTCAGTGTCCTTTTTGTAGTGCGGGGTCCAGAACTGAAACTGAAACAGCACCCGAGATGTGGCCTCACCAGTGCCGATTACACCGGGGCAATCCCTTCCCCGGTCCTGCCGCTCACGCTATTGCTGATACAGGACAAAATCATTTAAACTATGCACATGAATGCGCTCCACAGGCGGAGAATGACAGCACACACACGGCCCTGCCGGGAACCGCCACCCACGGCCTGCCCTGAGGAGCCCGGGACCTTCCTGTGCAGCCCAGACCCATGTCTCATCTCCATGACTAGGAAGAAATTCGTCTCAATGCCCAATCTAAACGTCCCCTGGCCCAGTTCAAGACAATGTCCTCTTGTGCTGTGGCTTGTTGCCTGGCAGAAGAGGCCGATCCCCACCTGGGATTTTTTTTCAGGGAGTTGAAGAGGGCGATAAGGCCATCCCTCAGCCTCCTCCTCTCCAGACTAAACAACCTCAACACCCTCGGCCACTCCCCATCAAACCTTGTGCTCCAGACCCTTCACCAGCACTGCTGCCCTTCTATGGACCCTGCTCCGCCACCTCAGTGTCCTTTTTGTAGTGCGGGGTCCAGAACTGAACACAGCACTAGAGATGCGGCCTCACCAGTGCCGAGTACAGCAGGGCAATCCCTTCCCCCGTCCTGCCGCTAACGCTATTGCTGATACAGGACAGAATAATTTAATCTATGCATATTAACACGCTCCACAGGCGGAGAACGACGGCTCACACAGGGGAGAACGACGGCTCACACAGGGCCCTGCCGGGAACCGCCACCCGCGGCCTGCCCTCAGCACCCGGGGAGCCGCGGCGGCTGCTCCCCTCGGGGAAGCCCTGGATCCCGGCGGGCAGGGCAGGGCCCGCCGGGTCGGGCAGAGCCCCCCCGTAGCCCCGTACTCACACTTGTCGCACACCATGGCGACCCCTCCACAGCCGCCGCTTCCGGCACCGCCCCGGAAGCGCCTCCGGCCGGGCCCCGGCGCCTTCCGCTGCCGGGCGGCGCCGCGCGCTCCGCGGTAAGAGGCGGGAGCGGCGCCCGCGGCCGCGCGGGGTTTGGTTGTTTGAACAAGCGCTGTTTCCTGTCCCCAAATCCTCCCCTTGGCCCCCAGCTCGGCCCGGAGCTCTGCCCTGCGCGTCGCGGCCGCGGAGGATGCTGTCCCGGCGTGCCGGTGACGGGGCGGGGCTCGGTGTGTTGCAGGTGCCGCTGCCCGGACGCCATGAGGGAGGCGGAGGTCAGGAGGCTCCTGGCTGCCAACCTGCTCTGCGCTCTGGCCATCGTCCTGGCCACACTGGCCCCGGCTTTCTTCCTGGACGGATTCAGCGTGCTGGGAACGCACCTCACGTGGCTGTGTGTTTGTTCTGTTTGTGTTGCTACCCTTAATATAATCTTACACTTAGTCCTTAAACCAAATCGGTCTCCTAAGAGACGTTCCTTTGGTCACAAGGTAAGATTTTATTTCTATTAAATTCTTAAGTTGTTACCAGGTAATAAAGAGGGGAAACAAATTCTCTGAAGTAATCAAATGAGAAAGAAGATAATTTTCAATGGTGAATTCTCATTTTCCATTAGTGAGTTGAGTGTAGCACCTTTTGAAACAAATTTTTCAGTATTTTCATGATGTTAAACTTTCTCTACCTGTAAATAACCTATTCAGGTGAGTGATTCTATGCTTTCCTGTTTCTTGTCAGTGCAATGTTTTTTGTAGTCCCAAGAATTTGCGTGGTGGCAAAACCTGGCAAAATTAAGTGGCTCAAAACTCATTTTGCAGTCCAGGCCTGGCTTATCTTCTTGATATGTGGATATACCAGGAAAAAATGTCATCACACGCTTCTCGTGTGTAGTTGTACGTTTGTAATAACTTTAAAAGGAAAAAAAATATTTTTTCAGAATCTGACACATAAAAGAGATGCTATGCTATGCTACAATGCTACATTTCAACAACTAAAAAAATCAAATGGAAAAATATTAAAATGTCTGCATTTCCTTCTATGATGAAATTATGAAATTTGCATACAGAAGAATCTAAAGTTGGGAGAAACTTCTTGTAGTCACAGTTTTCAACGGGGAGCATTAAAGATATGAATCCTAATAAAACCTTTGGAACAGAGTGATTTTGGAGCAGCACATGACTTACCCAGCAGGGAGGGAATACCCCAGAGTTTTGAAGTCGGGGGAATAGTCGTCTACTTCTGACTTGCTGAGCCAGGCAAGATGTAATGCTCTGAGGTGGTTTTTAAGCATTTAAGTAATCATCCCTGTCAGCGTATCTTTGTGTGCAAAGCTCCTGTCTAGTTTTGCTGACTGAGGAGGATGTGAAATGCACAAAACCATGATGGGAAGGAAGCAAGTGTTTTAACCATCTGTGATTTGAAAATGAAGCACACTTCATGTTCTAGGTGAGATTTCATCCCAGGAAATAAATATAGAAAGGAATAAATGTAGAAAAGTAAGGGTTCACAGAAAGTTATGGAGTTTGCACTGGTGACCTGATCAGAACAGACCTTATCAGAACTGTTTATCAAGTGTTTTTCCTTCTACATGATATAGTGAGTACCCAGAAAACTCGTTTAAGTTCCTTGAAAATTATGTGTTTTGTAGACTTTTAGAAAGTTATGGATATTTCTCAAATATATTCAGAATTTAAGATGCCAAGTTCAAAAGATGCCATGTAGTTTTAGTTAATGTAATTTTGATTCTTTACATAGCAGACTTTTATATTGTATGTTTTCTTGCTTTTAATTTTTTTTTCACTTTTTGTGAGAGTTGCCTTTTAATGAATGGATATGACAGTCAGATGTAAAACAGAAGTGTAAAAACGTCCAATAAAATTACTTCTGGTTATCTTGTAATTTCTGGTTATATTTTTTATACGTTTGCCCTGATTAATGGGATGCACAAAAAAAATTGTAGGTGGAGTGTGATGTTTTTTAATTATTTATTTAAAGTATTAATATATGGAAAACTGTTTTGAAATGTGCCATGCTATTATATTGTGCTGCAGCTGAAATGAAAGAAGTAATCAGAGTACAATGCTCTTGATAAGATATGGACTGTGTGTGTTACTTATGTTCTGTTTTGAAGCATTATTCTGATATTTCATTGCTCTTTTTTAGATATCCAGATTTCTAAAATGCTGTATATACTTTTTCATGTCTTGCATACTGTTTCATGCGATTATTGTTCTTTATGGAGCACCTCTCATAGAGTAAGTCAGAAGACCCTCTCTTTCTCTAAATATTCTAAGGGGCAGCTCTCCTTGCAGATGTTGGTATAAGTACTTGGGAATTTTCTGGTACACTGGAAGTTAAGGGATCAACTCCTAGCTGGGGGAAGAAAGGTGTCTGTTTCAGCTTTCTCTTGGTTTTGGGTTGTTTTGGGGGTTTTTTTGTTTGCTTGTTCAGTTGGTTTTTTTGGAAGCCAGCTCTTAAATGAGACTTCTGTAAATAAAAATTGCAACACAGTTACAAACAACTGTTTATTTTAATTTTTATGGTAAACATATGGACACAAACACTTTTTGGAGCTTCATTTAGTCATTTTCCCTATAAGATTCTAAACCACACATCTTGCCTATTTTTCATCCTTTTGATATTAGTGTTTTAACTGTTATGAAAGTTTAAAGGAGGAAGTGTGAAGCAACTTGGGTGTTGAGAGATACACTAAGTAGTTGGCTAACAATAGTTTCATGTAGTTTGGTATCATGGTTGCTGTCACAAGTGGAAAAATAAATGGAATAATGAAGTAAGTATCCTAGCATACTTCAATTTAGAACTAAAGATCTATGTGAAGTGCACCTGTGGTTTTTTAAAAATTGCTACATCTCACTCTTGAGATAATAGCAGAACTCTTTCCAGCTTCCTTTACTATTCTACAGAGTAAGAAGAAAATATTTTATTCTATTATATGAGGTTTAAGCACACATGCTTTCACAAGTTGAGTTAGAGGGACTTTTTTCTTCCTAAATCTTGGAACTTTTAGAGCATTAGTGACCACCTCACTTAATTTTGTAATATTCTTTTTCTTTTTGTAGGTTAGTGACTGAGACATTTTTGTTTTCAGTTCTTCTGTCTACATTTACTACTTTACAATGCTTGTGTTTGCTGGGACCAAACATACAGGCATGGATACGGGTATTTAGTAAAAATGGGTAAGTCCTAATCTAAAGTTTCTGATATTTCTCTGAATAGAAATGGACAGAATTGATGTAAAAAATATATAATGGAATTTTTGTAAAGAAAATAAAACTTCCTGGATGATGGGTGGTTTTTGTATTTGTGATTACAGACATATGGGAGCTTTTCTGACAAAGAAAGATTTATTTGAAGACACTGATTCAGAAAAACAGCATTTTATTTTTGGTGCTCAGATGCTAAATCTCACTTTATATGTGTTTGAAGGAAGTAAAGTTTCCAGCACATATTCTACTGAAGTAAAAGCATTGTGCAATTCTATGTGATGGTTGTCAGATAAAGGGGAGACCTGACACTGAGCTGTGCATGGAGAATCTTGCACATGATCCAGTAGTACCTTCGTAAATACAATTTTTAAAGTAGGAATAGGAAGTCAATACAAGCACTGTTTTAAACTTGAATACAATATTGAAAATTACACATAACTTGCTCTGTTCTTAATTATGTAATATTAACCCATGCTCTTTTTTCAATTTCAAAGAAAGCTGTTTTGAGTGTCAGTTTTCAAGGATTAATTTTTTCAGGAGTACGTTTAAAGTAAAACAAGCCTTCTAACCGCATTTTCACCTCCAGTGGCAGCCATGGCATCAGCATCTATCAAGGATAATGTATTTTTCAGAAAATTTCCATTTCTTCTGCTTTTTGTCATTCCATAAATATTAGCAGGTAGAAAGAATGGGACACTGAAACATAAAGAGGCTTCACGTGTGCTTGAGATTCAATGAGATTTTAGTATTCATTCCCTTTTAATAGTTCATAATGGTGAAGTCTCATCTCAGAAGACAGCAAAAGGTTGTATTACACTGCTGACCTATGGAATTATTTTTGGTTTGCACTCCTTTACAGGAGGAGACTTAAATGCTACTTTCAGGTATTAAGTTCTGGTTTATCTCAGTTCTCAATTTACTGAAAAATATCTTGAATCCTTATTCAAGTCATTTACACTTGTTCTTTTCAGTGGATGTGTAAATATACTGTAATAAAAGCAAGGAGTCATTTAGCCAAAATAAATCTTTGCTGATTCACTTGGTCATCTTTGGAGGTTTTGCATCTGAAATAACAGCTGAATTGAACAGATGTATGACAATATCAGTCTGTCTTAGTGCCAGGTAGATTTTGAATGCCTGTTGATTTCTTTTTTTCCTAGTCTAGATCTTAATGCAATTTCAGCACAATCATTGCATAGGAAGCAGTTGTCTTGTTTTGACACTTCTGCTGTGAGAATTTGTCAGTACTTCTTACTAGTGAGCCACGTGACATTATGAGAGAAAAAGGTTTATTATTAATGATGTTTGTTTACACTTGGAGTGAATATAGACTACAAAGAAATATTGTAGCAGGTTTCTTTATGGATAGTAGCAAGCTGCTCATTTAAAAATAATCCTGTGTTTTTTCTTTTCACCTCGTGAAATTGGAACATCTTAGGTTTGGGCATGAGATGAGTGAAGACATGATACATTAAATAAGGTTGTCTCTAGCCCAACCATATGGAATGAGCTGGGACTGGTTAAGTGGAAGAAAAGGATGGTTAGGTGAAATCAACAGAGCTGCTTGCCTTGAAAGCAGAATTTAGGGAATTGAATTGCACTGGATCAGTTAGCTTGAAAGTCTGATTAGGTGTATAGCTTAGTATGAAAAAAAAAAATTGTTTTTAAGTACCTGAGTGCAATTTAGACTTAAGTAACCTTAAGCCTATGTGCACATAGAATGTGTGAGAAAAAGTAAGTCTATATATTCTACATGACAAACCCTTCCAGTCTTAGTTAGCTATAAATAGGGCCCTTTTCACTAATTCTGCTTTTGGGAAGGGGTGGGCCCACACCAGCATCTCTGGGCTCCTCACTCTGACATGGAGAGTTGTGACTGATGTCGGGGTCATGGCACTGATCATACACTGTCATGTCCTGCTGTGAGTGGTTAGAGGGAAGTAAAAGCTGCAGAAAGGGGTATCAGCATTCATGGCAGCATGTGGCTGTTATTTAAATAGTGTTTCAGTAACTTAGGTGAAATAGCTTCCTGCATAAAAGTCTTTAAGAAACCAGTTTTTTGGGTTTTTTCCTCTCTCTCCTTTTGGAGACTGTTTGTTTCAAATCACTGCTCTGAGAAATTGTGTTGAAATTATAATAGCAATTATAAGGGGTAATCAGGGCAGAAAAGAGATTTTATTTGGATGTTGCCAAAAAATAGTAAAAAAATCATGACATTAGGGCTTCTTCCTGATTTCATTATGCCTATTTTATCACTTTGTGAACTACATACTCTTACAGACATGAAATGCCCCTTGTAAATGTAGGCATCATCACACACCAAGGGCTGCTTAGTATTTAGTCCTACTACAGCCAAGAATTCCAAATCTTGTCTATGAAGGAACTGTCTCAATAGATATTTTGTCAGCTAACCTCTTAATTCAAACATTATTTGATGTGGAACTGAATGTACTGTGTTATTTAAAGGGGTTAAATAATTACTTTAGGCTTTTAAAGACCTTTCTGCCACTAGTGTTATCTTAATCATTGCTACTTTTGTCTGCAGGATTATTTTAGTTTAAATGAAAGAAATGTGGAAAATGCAAAGTTTATCTACATTGGTGCAGTTTTTAGTCTTATGCAAATGAGGAGTTTATGTGGTGGTTTAAATAATAGCTTCAAAAATCCCAATAAGTGTCAGTCATTCCAAGAAGAAAAGTGAGTACTTAAGTAATGACTTAAAGTAATTGCTCCTTCAGGATGGTGCTGGAGGACAAGTCAGGTTGTCTTTGGGTAGCCAGTCCATGCTGCAGAGGGGTTCAATTAGCAGCTGAAATAGTTGCCAAACTGCCAATGGCTGTTTTTCACTTGGGCATCGTGCCTTGCTAATTCGGTTGTTCTGCATTTGGACTCAGTCTGATCTCTCCATATGGTACAGCAGTCTCTGGTGAATCTGCCACACACACAAGATGTCTTGTGAGGTATAACTGTACCTCAGTCAGTCCTTGGTGTATTCTGCTGTCCTTTTCGCTGCTTTAAGGTTGTTGTGAATGTTCTCTTCCTTGTTCTGCCTGACAGCTCCCTGCTCAGTTATTCAGCTTCTGAAAATAATTCAAAAGAATTTTCTGTGTGCAGACTCCTAAACAGTCTGGACTTTTCAATAAAAGACTTTTAGGACTTTTCAATAAAAGAATCAGGACTTTTCAATAAAAAGAATCTCAAACTAGTAGGATTGTGAACTGGAGTATTTTAAGTTAAAGAGGTCATGTGATTGTAGAAGAAACAGTTCTGCTCAAAATGTCAACCTTGCACTGTCAGTACTGTAGTCTGCAAGACTTTTTTTTTCTGCAAACATTGAAAAATGTTTGCTTTAAATTTGTGAGCTGTTTGGTCAATAGCAAGTGCAGCAGTGTGTACTTGGAAGTAAAGAAATTTTATTCTCTTCAAAACCAAGTGTTCATGTCATCCAACCTAAACAGCACATGCAAAGTTCAGAGTTTACTGTGCATCTAGTCTTTGAGCTATAAAAATGCTCATTTTTTTCCTATGTTAGCTGAAGCTAACAGGTGTACATTTATAATCTGAGATGCAGCAAACTTTAAACTCAGCTCTCCTGCTGTACTGATTTGGAGCAGTGATTCTAGTAGTCTGGTTCTCCTGTCCTGAAACTGTGCCCTACTGCCTTCTGAGCTTCTGTTGCTCTTTTGTTAATTGGTACCAAGTACCCAAATGTTCATGGCCTGAGCAGAGCGATCAGTTGGTACATTGATGGTAGTAAGCACTCATCTGTTAAACAGAAATCCAGCTTTTCAAAAACTTTTGAAATCAGTAGTGGCAAAAGGCTATAAACTCAGGACTGAAGTAATTTAACATCTCTTAGAATGTGTGCCATGACTGGTAGTGTAAGAGTTCTTTAGTGTGCAAAAAATTTATCCTGCAGCCAGTGTACTTGAACTTGGATGCACTGCTACCAAAGGGCTCCAATGTGCAGTTATATTTACTTGCAGTGTTTCTTTTCAGTTGATGGAAACTTGTTTTGAAATATTCTCATAGTGGACTTCTATGTTAAATTTTGAATTGTTGTAGTCATCAAATATGTCTACACCACAGAGTCCTTTGTGACCGTGCTTGTGCTTTTCTGTACAGTCCCACAGTACACTTCCATGTCTGCCTCTCCCTGCACTGCACACAGCTATCGAGATAGATTTATGTGCTCAGTCTAGCAGTGTTTCAAGGTAACATAAATTAGCTTTTGCAGTAAACATCTCAAGGAAAAAAAAATCCTGAAGGTGTTGTATTAAAAGATTGTAATTATAGATAAATTATGCAACTTAGATTTTTACTTCCAGTTTGTATGTTTTAGGAGAAACCTACATGCTATTTACCAAATATGTGAATTTTTATGTCTGTTTGTAGCCTCAAAAATTTGGGGAGAAATCTAATCTAACTCTCTGCCATGGTAACTTCTGCTGTTGTTGAAAACTTCTAACACACTTTTTACAGGGCTATGTCCATATGGGAAAGCAGTCTACAGATTACTTCTGTGTGCAGTATACTTGGAGCTTGGTTTGGAGCATTTCCTATTCCTCTTGACTGGGATCGGCCTTGGCAGGTTAGTATCTGCACCCTTACCATAAAGGGACAAAATACTAATTTTCTGGAGATGCACACTACACAAAATTGCTCTGAAACTGTTCAGGTGTATTGTAGTTGGTCATAAGCTGCTCCTACAGAGTCATGCCAAACTTTTAACAACTCTTTGGAAACATCTGTGCTTAGGGCGTAAGGAAGTAAAATGCATTATTTTTATTTCCGGTTTAAATAGATTCTTTATTACATGGTTGTGAGTGTCTGTTGCATGCAAATTTTATAATGGAATAGAGCTCTAATGATTTGGATAAGAAGAAGCTAGACAAGCTGGAGGAGAAATGGGAAATGATGAAGATGGCTTCAAGTTTGCCTTCAGTCTAGTAGCTTTTATTGTTCACAGGTAGGGAAAGAAATGCTTTCCTGGTGTTTTAGCTCCCCTCTGTCTTTCATAAAAGCACTTAACAGAAGGTATTTTAAATGGATTTAGATCAGTTTGTGGAAATGCAAACTGGTATAGCCAAAGCATTGTACTAAACACTTGTGATTTCAAAGGAAGGCAAACATTAGCTTTTTAGTTGAACAAGAAGAAATGTGAAGCTGGCATTGCAATTCTATCTTTATGAATTCCAGTGTTTATGCTAATTTCTTACTGTGTTTTTTGGCATGGAGAAGTGATTCAATTAAACATAACTGAAGTCTGCAATTGCCATAAAATGATGGCACTAGTAACAGCTTCTTCCTACATGTGCTCAGTGTTTCGTAACTTCGTCTTGTTACCAAACTCAGACACTCTTGGCTGAGTAGTGTCTACCAGGCCTGTTCTTAAGCAGATGGTTTCAGAGGTTTCTTCCAGAAATCAGTGTAACAGGCAGCACACTTTCCACTGTGATATTGTGGAGGTGCTGTGGCTTACAGCTGCACTTAAAATTTGTCTTCTGTGAATAGCTCACAGCCTTTATGCCATTGTCTTTCATTGCAGTAGTGTAATTAGACATTAGAATTTGTATTTTAAAAATAATGAAGGAGTAGGTTAACATTTAAAGCAAAACATTTTCTTCCCTGAAAACACTTGTTTGTTCTTGCTAGATATTTCACCGTCAATCTGGCATGGGTATGTGTTGACGCTAATTAATTGTTGACAGACATGAATGTAACCCAAAAATCAAGGGATTCACTGAAATGCAATCTCCTTCCAAGTCTTTCTCACTTCCCTGTGCTGATGAGAGGCACGCACTTTTTCCTTAATCAGATGGGATTTTAAAATAGCATGTCTCATCTGGCAGGTGCTGTTTTATTCCCAAAAATCTCAGACTTTGCTTATGTGCTGTGTATAAAACCTCCACCTTTTATGCACCAATGATATGAGGAAAACTTAGGTCAGGGGGCTCTGAGTAACAAAACAAAGACACTAATAGCTGAAGACAGATACTTCAGGTAGAGTTAGTTTTAGCTTTTGGTCCATTCCCACATGTTCCAATAGTGGGAGACATAAGTTTGATAATGGTCTGAAAACTTTTGCTGTTTGAAAAGTCTTCCAAGTTAATAAAAGACAAACATGACTGAAAATTTAGCTCTATAATCTACACTTAAACATCTAAAATGATACTAAATGACTCCTCAGAACAGTAAAGCATCTGTAGAAACTTCAGATACCCAAACTTGTCACTGGCTGTTTCTGGGTGTGAATACTCCCCAGTGCTCCCTGTAGTCTGCAATTTCCCTTTTCCTTCACCCTCTCCACCCTCATTTCTGACATACTCCTGATACCAAAGTTAGCAGGTGAGAGTTTATGACTCAAGTTCTACATCAAAGATCTTTTGCCTAGATCTAGAGCATTTGCTGCTATTCTTTCCCTTCCCCTCATTTTTCCCATCCTCACTTCTCCATCTTACACATTATAGAGTTTTGAATAGTGGGATGGGGGAAGAAATTTTTTGTTCCACTTTGAGTCTGACCTGCTTGATCTTTAATAATGTGGGCAGTTCAAGAGCAGCCATAGAGAGTTTGCTTATCAGTCCTGCAGGCTGCCACTTCAACAGTCTGAAAACTGCAGTTTTAAAGGCTAATTTTTTAAGATCTGCTGTATTAGGGGAGATGAAAAAAGTTCTTGTTAAAATGTAATGTAGTTTTTACAAGTCCAGTTGTTTCAGCAAAGCAACACAGTGAAGCACCAAAATTGTAACAGGTCTTCAAGGCAGAAATCAACTTCTCTAAAATAGCTTGTCAAGGATCCTGTTCACAACTCTCAGAAGTTTTCAATCACCTATTACTAATCTAATATTTTTGTGACGGTGATCTCTTAAATATTGGTCACTAAACCATAGAAGTGGGAGCAGGGTCCTGGCCAGGCATTTTTGGTATTTGCCCAGGAAACACTGCTTCCCAGCTTGCCCAGCTCAGGCAAGAGATCTGTTGAGATATATTGTGAATCAGGTTCTGGGGAAACACAAATTCACGCAACAGCTGATATCTTTTGTCTTTCTCTTCCTACTGAACAGTATGGATTCAGCAACCCAGGTATTGCATGTAGTAGCTGCATGGCTGTCTCAGAAATCTTCAGAACCAGGAAGCTTTTGTGTTCTTCAGAAGTTCACTGGGCACTGGCACAAAGTCTCTTTTTACAAGAGTATTCCTTTTGCTACCTGATGTCAGGTGATTACAGAAACTCATAGTGAATTCTTTCACTGTAACAATAAAAGAGAAGTGCTTTCTCTGTTGTCTTCAACCTCAGACAGGGGAAAGAAGAATGATCCTCAGAGAAGTCTGCTGTTGTTGCAGATCTGTTTAGTTTGTGAAGATCTTTAGTGCTGATTGCCCCTGAGTGACCTAACCACTTGCTGAACATAAAAATACCTGCACATAATACAGCTGCAGGATTAATAATAATAATATTTTTTAATCTCCCCCAAATACAAGGACTACTAATTTTTTGCATAGAATGCCACAGAACTTCAACTGGTATGTTTAGGGGAACACCTACAGATTAAGTCCCAAGCAAGGTCTGAAAGAAATCATGTAGACCTTAACGTGACTTAAAAGTAATCAGAACCCAGTCAAAACCAAATTACTCCTAGACATCTGCATGAGTAAAGTATTAAGCTGTCATGCTTCTGACATCAGCTGTTTCTCATATTAGCCTAAAGACAGAGAGCTTGAGGATTACAGTTTTGGATTTACCCTTTTCCTATCCAAAAATGGACTCAAATGGAACAGCTTAGTCTTTGAACTCAAGACCAGCTTCTGAGATAAAAAGAGGTTTCATTAGTGATTGTTTTCCTTTTTGTATTTTAGCCTTTGTGCTGTAAACAGCTGTTTTTTTGATCTGTAGTGGAAGCGGTTCTGCTTTAAAGCAGAAAATGTGGTTTAAATCTTATTCGTCAGGGAAGACTAAAGTGGTATTATTATTTTAGAGAGCAGTGGTAAGGCCTTTAAGCCTGCTTATTGCAAAATCTGGTTCTGATGTTTGTATTGATTATTGTTAGTATTTGTGGTGTAACAACATGCAATAGAAACACTGCTGCATTACTACCTGTAACTTCAGAAAATTCATTATTGGCAGATTGTCACAGAAAAGGTGAGATTGGTACTACAAGAACTGGATGGATCAGCAATAATTGAGAAATATCATGTGATAAAGCCAACCAAAGGGGTTTTGCTGCTGCCCTTGGGCTCTGTTGGTAGTCCTGGAATGTCAAAAGTTGTCAAAACCACAAAATATCCAGCTGGTACAGAAATGTGCTGTGAGTTTGGGATGAAAAATGCCATTGCTTTAGCTTTGTTAGAACAATATAATATGAAACAAGCTATACAGAAGAAGTCACTGTATCTTGAATTGGCATATTTTTCCACTTAATTGGGATTTAGCACTTAATCAAATCTGGTGTCTACACTTTAAACAGTAGATAGTTTAAGAGTATCTACAGTCAACTTTTAAATTGAAAAATCATTCACAAATGGGAGAATTGTAAAGCTGCTTCTGTGAAGTCTGGTTTGTTGATAAAAAGGTCTTCAAATGGAAATGGCCTGTAGTCACTCACCTAACGCAAACAAGAGGTTGGAGGCAGTACTGTGAATGCTGGAATCCAAGCAGAGTATTAAATAAAGCTGTCTGCACTATTCTGTAAGATACTTGGCTGAATTGCCACACTCATACCTACCACAGTTCTTCTGCTTTGTGTCCTTCAAAGAAAAAGCAACATTGGTTTCATTTTTTGCAACTGTTTCCCTGCCCTTGGCAGTCTGTTTTGAGTCTATCATATTTTCCTGCAAATAGAAAGAGCTGAAAAATTACCTGGTAGTCATTGCTTTACATTGTGGTTGAGATGTATCAGTAGAAGTTGTACTTTTGTACTATTACCTGGATCTTACCTGGTCAGAAAATCAGATGTCAGCATCCTTTGTGTCTTTCACTGGAATTTGTTTTTACTTCTAAGTACTTCAGGGTTCTGTGGAGCAAACCTGATGATGAATTTCATAACAAGAATTCTAACTCATGTGCTAACGACTAAAGCCCAAATGCTACTTCATCCTTACTTATTTACAAAGCAAAGGAAACATGTTGCTTCTTTATACATACATCTTGTGACATGCAACAAAACTGAGATAAATACAGATGTCTCAGAAAATCTTCACTTTATTTTCCACGTTTATGTTTGAAAAATATTGCATACAGGGGATATTCAGATTGGTGTGCCTCTCTACCCTTAAAAATAATAATGTTAATTGCATTTTTTAAGCATACAACAACTTCTATGCTAAGTAAATATTACTTAACAGGAACAGAATATTGTTTCAGAAATAAACTAACATTAATTTTCTGAATAATGTTTGAGAATGGAGATGGAAAATATATAAAGTATTTCTGTTAGAAGTATAAAATATATTTCTGAAAGTCAGTTTGCGTCCTATGATTTGGGTTTTTTTCATTATTCTGTTGCTTTTTTAAAAGCAACTTTTAAGTGTGCCATGTATGTTACTCCTCTGATAGCTTTAAGAAAAATGTTGTAACTATGCCAAACAGTTGGTCAGGGAGGCCCAGTCTGTTGTTATTCCTGCTTGTAGGTCTAGAATTTGGCTTATCTCAGACAAAGGTAAAGATAATTGCCTTACAGGAATGCAGGTTAGGCACTACAGTAGTTACATTTCTGTATTAAAAACAAAACAACAAACTTTCCCCGACTTGTTCTGCCAGGCATGTTTCAGTTAGACTGGTAGACTAATTTTGCCAGTGTTTTGACATTGTTATCCTATTTTTCAGCAATTTTTAAAGCAGTTTGCAATGCTTTATTGTGATGATTTAAGTAAGGCTGTTCTAGACAATTTAGAGTTGTACATCCATCTCAAGATGCCTCTAGGCTGATCAATGGGTATGTAAGGATTGCAGTTAGATAGGACAGTTCTACAAAGAAATAGAAAATACCTTCCTTTCTTACAGTTGCTTAGTTTTTCCAGATTACCTGTTTCAAGTTGATGCAGTGCTTTTAATAACCACATGTGATCAGGATATTGGCTTCATGTGTCCCTGAGAAGTGGAACCTCAAAACACACCACCACTAAAACAGGAGGGGATGGTGTAGGAGTTACTAGGCACATCCTTTCTCTACTCAGCTTGAGGAAACTAGTTGCAGAACAACATGGGATAGTTAAAGACGACAACGTTATCAGCACCCTTTTTATGTGGTGGAACTATTATTCCAGACACAGCATTTGAGAACAACTGGATTTAGCTCACTGGGGAATTCCTCAGATTATTGCATGTTTTGATAACAGACTTTTAAATCATGTCTCTGTGTTTGTTGTGTGCATGCCCTCCCATACATCCAGGGTTTTTTGGTAGCTTAACTTTGATCTGTACCTGTTACTAGTGGTAAAACGTGACTTTGAAACAATATTCTGCTTACAGTGTTATCATTAGGTAGAAGTAAAATTGCTATATTCCTACTTCATAGTGGATACTGCAAGCATAATAGGTAGTGCTGATAAAGCTCACCTGAGTTGACTGACTGCCATGTAATTTAGCCAATATGACTGTAAATATTAGCCTTAGATACCTCTCAGACATTTGTAGCCTGAAAAATAATCCAGAGAATCTTGGGTACAGTTCTTGGTGCTTACTCAAGTAAGCTGAAATGGGACTATAAACTTTCACTCTACTTTGGTTCTTCTTAACACAGCTCAGAGAGTTTCCTTCTTGTATTCCTTTTTGGATCTACTACCTACTGTGAAAGTTTTGTTTTAAGAGAAGTTGCTTAATATGAGAGGAAGGGATAATACGCAATTGGAGTTATTTTAAACAGAGGTAGAAGCTTGCTCCACTTCAGTGTGGTTATCATTGTTTATTTAATAATGTGTTTTCTCAATGTAAACCTTAATGGTGAGATTAAAGGCTGTTATGCTTGCTATAACTTTAGAACACAAATCCATGAAATCAACTTCGAGTTACAAATGCCAGCCTGAAAAAAGCCTCTCACTTTCTTCTTGGTGTGTACTTATCAACACACACATTCTGTACAATGTGATAAGACACTTGTAGTTAACATGTGCATGCAACCAAAATAGATTAAAGGCATGTACTGAAGTTTTTGAGACAGTACAGACTAAACAATCAGGAATTTAAGGCATGTTAGAAACAGGGAGGGAAAATAATTGTGCTCATTTATTCAGTTTTAAAATGAAACAAAATTATTACATAGCCTTCTAATTGACAGTCAGAAATTAGTTTTTTGAAACAGTAAGCATACAAAAAATTGTGTTTAGGAATATGAGAAAAACACTCTTAAGTTTACTGAAAAGTAAGTACAGTAGATTGCCCCACTGTATTTGCATTTGTATAATGAAAGTTCCAGCAGGCAGCTGCTTACTTCATAATATCTTTAAAAACTTTGTGTTGCTCCTCTGGTCTATAAGCATCTGGCCCTTATGTCCTTATCAATGTCTATGTAATTCCCTTGCATGGGACGCAAGGTTCGTAATAGATGACAAAACTGTCATGCAGTCAGAATTCTGCTTTAGCCAGCTGCATGCACAGTCCAGCAGAGCTAGGTACCTTGCTGGGATCCTGCAACATGCTCTGCTTTCCATGCAATATGCTAAGCATTCTCACATCATAGAATCTTAGGTGTTCTAAAGAGCACTGAGGAAAACTAGCTCATTTGTGTCCTGAAAGGTTGGCAATTCCTATTTTGAGTCATTATTCTTAAAATGAGTTCTAATATATACTAAAAACCTTGCAGTTCTGCAGTGTCTTTTAAGCTAGCCTAAAGAAATTCCTGTGAAGTCCTAACACTGCTGCCAGATGAAAAGGCAAAAAGAAAATTTAAACAAATAGCAGAAGTCAGAATTGCTTTGCATTAAACACTGCCTCATGCTCTGTCCATTAAAATGCATTTATTGTTCTTGGTAAGATTTGTTTTTGCCAAGCTGCTGTTCAGGTTCCTAGTAATCATCTACAGGTTGTTAAAATTGCCCTTTTCACCATGCATTTGATATGTAAAAAAACTGATTCTTCTTGTGTTAGGCTGTGAGAATGGTAGCTGATGCTTCCCAGCTGCTGAGACAGATAAGGCGTTTCATGACAGTTTCATGAAAAATGTTCTGTTCTATCTCCTGTGCTCCCCACACTTTTCTCTCCTTATCAGCCTTTTTTCCCCTCAGCAAAAGTGCAGCTTGGCCATGTGGCCTAACATCTTATTCCCCTGCTGCTGACCCAGCCCAGACATGACATCAGTACTGGGGCAGGATATGTCAGCTTCCTCAAGGCAGAAAGGGAGCATGATGTAGGAGGAACTGAGCTGGAAAGTTCTCAGGGGATGAGAGGGGTGTATTACAAGTCTCATATTTTAAGCAAGCAGAATGGAATCTCTTGAAACAGGCAGACAGATATTTGCTGCTTAGATTTTTATCACTTACAGGCAGTTCATACCAAGTCAAGGACTTTAAACCAAGTTTGAGATAACATGAAAGAGGGGGCAAAAGCAGGCCAATTGAGTAAGTCAAAGTCATTTAAAAAGGTCCAGAAGAAAGTGATTGGGTCTCAGAAAAATGAGGCCAGCAGCTAATACAAAATAAAGCAACCCACTTCCACAGAAAGAGGCAACCCATTTTCATAGACAGCCAAAAGCATGTGAAAGTGGTGTTATTTTAGTGCAGCTGCTGTGCTTAAGAACCATATCTTAATCTGTCTTTGATAACTTGCTGCTTTAGATATATACCCATGGGTGCCTCAGGCTATTTGTAGCCTAAAAGCCATCAGTCAAGAACAAAAGGTGCAAAACTGGTATTATTACCTGTTTGTTAGGGGGTTTTGCCAGGTCTTGAGGGTTAGAGAAAATGGCAGAAGGACAGCAACACTCTTAAGTCCAGGCTTTTAACTGCTGTGCTGAGGGAGTTTTCAAAAGGCCAATCAAACTGCCCTCAGAACTATTTTGGGCTGTCCAAGCAGCACAGTAAGAATAAGTGCCTGGCCTAATACCCCTCTGTTCCATGCCACTAGAAGGGATGAGGTGGTGTCTCTTTCTGTCTTATTCATAGATGGGGAGATGGTATGTGTTATGTTTTCTTCCCTTTGCTTCCTATCTTTTCCACCTGCCATTTGTGAGTGTTCAGAGGTCAGAGATTCAACTGTTAAAAAGAGAGAGCCTGAAACTTAGGTAAGGTAACACTGATTTTTAAAAGCCAAAGCAAAAATTGAATGTTTTAGAAGACAGACAGAGGCATAATTTAAAAGTTACACAGCTATTGAAAAAACACGTCCCAAGTTGCAGTTCAGTCAGGTGAAAGAGGCTACAACAATCATCAGATATGTTTTTAATCATACCAATAATCACCCACTATACACAAAATAGCACAATATACAGGGTCTTTGGGTCATCAGGGATATTCGCTCTCTAGTTAGGGGAATATGATCAATTCAGAGTCCATCATCTACCTATAGTCCTGGAAAGCAAATAGGCAACTACAAATTCACCTAATGTAGGTAAAAATTTAATGAAGGATTGATCATTGATCACTCAGCAAATCTGATGTAAAAGCACCACCGAGTTAAGAAGCCTTTGTCCATAGTTTTGTGGATATTGGAGTGGTATTTGACTTCATCAGTGGATAAAAAAGTATGACTTGAGTTCCATCTGAACATTACTGAGTGAGCAGAAGGGTTTCAGGGACTTTTTTTATTGTTTTGTCCTTTAGACAAATGTAATATGCAAAATGCTAGAAATAATTACATTTTGTTTAAAAGTTGAAAAGATCCACCTGAAGTGTAAGTTTAGCCAAGGCCACAAACTTATGTGAGTTTCAAATGCATGTAGTACTTACCATGCCAAAGCCTCTCAAGGCTTTTTATAGATGATCTACTATACACAGTAAATGAATGAAAACAAGCAAATCTTTGGCTTGAGAGGCAACTGCTGAAATACTCAGCAACAAAAGCAGCAGAGACAGAATGTATGAAAGTGAAAGAATGAAACAAGGTCAATAAAGAGTACCTAAGGCACCTTGTTTAGTAATCATCTTTGCTACACTCCTTAAGACCTCCAAATAACATATAAAAGCTGTAAATGCTAAGGAATGTGAAGATGAAACAACTGAGGAGGTTGAAGATGAAAGAACAGAGGACAAAATACATTACTCTTTTTTGTAGTTAAAATTCCCATGATCAAAGGATGTGAATAAATATATTCTTTTAAGTGATAATGAAGTAAAGAGAAGAATCAGAGCTAGGAAAATGAATGAAAGGAGGAACCAGTACCATTAAGAGTAGGTTCATTTGATATTCATGAATTGCAAGTCAAAGTGAAGTAGAAAAGAAGGCTGGAGATTGGGATATTTCCTGTATTGTCTAGTGCATTTCTCAGTCTCAAGTACTATGGGGAGGGGGAAATATCCCCCTTAATTTAAAAAACAAAAGAATAGGAGAGTCCAGTCCATACTTGCTTTAGGAATATGCACTGTAGAGCAGGAACTGCAAACCTGTCCTTGCGAAAAAACAAAAAGAAAGCAAAGGAGAATTTTAAAGAGGCCTGGGAGTTCTGTTTATTCTGAAATAAATAAATTAATTACCACCTTAGTTGAGACTTTTCATCAAATGCAGTATGTAGTGGACTGGTACTATAAGCTACATCTGATGACAAATTGGTTAAGTCAACTACTACTTGGTTTGGCCATTCCTCCCTGCAAATCAATACCGATTTAAAAAAAAAAAAGAGCAGGGAAGAATTCTATTACTACTCTGGGTCAGCACAAGATGGTTTGTTAAAATGAGTCAGATCTATTGAGTTGGTTTCCTTTTCTTTTAGTTGAAAATAGAGCATATAATTAAAGCTCTCTTTGACATAACTGGCTTACTACAAGTTTGATGATCTGGGTGCAAGATGTTCAGTCAGCTTCCAATTTTGTGTTCCCTCCCTACTGCTAGCCAGAGGGAAATTTATCCTTTTATATACTTTTCAAAAAAAAAAGCCAACAAACCTCTATCTATCTCAGTCTCTAGCCTTATTTGAATACTAATTCCTCTATACACACCTGAAAGTTTCAAAACACCATGAGAGATTGAAAGGAGAAGTTGCTGAGAAATCTGTAGGTATCCGAATGTGTACAGCAGAGTAGGAAGTCGGGTCAGCTGAATGCTTCTTGGGATATAGATACTTCTAAGGGGTGGTTTTTCCACATAGTTTTTGGACTATCAAACTAAAGTCTGCAATAGCCAGAAGCCTGCTTACATTTTAATGCATATTAATTAAAAACTGTACAACAGCATTTAGTGTTTATGAAGATGATTGTTACGCTTTTGGCATTTTTAGGAAAGCACATCAAGCTTTAAAGTAGAATAAGACTACTGTCTTTCAGTACCTAGACTTTGTGCTCATGAAGTACAAAAAACCACAGACATTTTCCTCATTGTCTGCTTTTGCCTTGTGTTCTCCCCTCAGGTATGGCCCATTTCCTGTTCCCTCGGAGCTACCTTTGGCTATATGGCTGGTCTGATTATTGCACCTCTGTGGATACACTGGAACCGGAAGCAGCTTACATACAAAAGCAGATAACTGGAGCAAAAAGAGACAAGGTATTTCTTTGTGCAGATTCCATACAGACTGTGCAAAAGTTGGGGGTTTTTAAGATATATATATATATATATATAGTCAAAGCAGAAGACTGTCCAAATGCAGTTAGAGTATTTCAGGCCAAGCATCTCCACTCAGTAAAATCACATAGATGCCATTTCAGCATGGTGCAGTTTTTGCTTCCTCTAGACTGTGTAACCCTGAGAGATTGTACCTTCCAGTCTGAATAAAATATTTGTAACAGATGTGGTGGCTTCTTATTACAAGTTCGTTGAGTTTGATTTTATTCCTCTGGATTTCACTGGTTGTAGAAGGCAGAAACGTAGGTTTAACTTTCAAACCTGGAACAAATTCACTATGTACTTAATGCATTGTATTTAAAATCAGTAGAATTTCACAGTAAGCCTGGCCATTGTCAAATGTCTCTCACGTGATCAAACAGCAGTTTATGCATCTTGAGCCTATTCTCTTCTTCACTGTGTGTTTCTTTGGAGTTAGAATGGCTATAATAGCTTCATCAAAAACAGTCTTCAGTCCTTTCTGTGTTAAAGCTGAACACTCCACGTAACAGTAGGCTCCTATCTGTCAAGAAAATAAGTTAATTCAATAGCAGTACGTCTCAGCTGTTCAATTCCATCTGAGCACTTCTGCTTTTTTTTCTCCCCCCATAGCAACATTACAATGTTTGGCTGCAATCTAAAACAAGTTATCTGAATGTGCACCCCCCTGTAGGAGAAAATAATATTTATCTTTTGTCCAAAGATCTGGAAGGTATTTAAGTTGGTTTGTTTCTGTGGGAAAGAAGTAAGTTCTCTAGATTGGCAGTGGAGGCCTAAGATATGGTTGATAATTAAAGAGCAAAAAATAATTACATTACTCATTTGTGTTTCAAAAATAAATGCTCTGTAAGTGTCCTCATAAGCATTATCCACACAGTAGTTACAGTGGTAGTATAACATTCTCAAATAATGTCTAAAAGATGCTTCCAACATTTTGCTTGAGCAGGAAAGGTCCCTTCCAACCTCCACCAGTCTGTGGATTTTAATTATCTTTGAGTAATATTTATATAGCTTGTATAGCTTTTACAACTGTCTACACTAAAAATTAGAACTGTTACTGACAAGAAAGTGTAATTACATAGGTCTACTCATTAATGTAAGTAAGTGTTGTTAACTGGTAAGCAGTCACAAGATTTCATATGTGGACTGCTAAAAGATATGCAAAAAGTGGTAAAGGAAGACAAAGTCAAGTAGAAATAGGGGTGTTTTGTTGTTTTGTTCTTTGTTACTTGGTTTCATTTAGGAGTATCCAGTTTACCTCTTTTGCTAACTTCTGTCCTTGCTCCACAGATACGGGCTTCTCTTTCATATCATTCAGTCTTGCCAGAGTTTTTGGGTCATCACGGAGATCAATCTAGCAAGAAAGATTGAAGTCATGCTGGAATACTTTCTCTAAACAAAAGTCAGCAGGCAATATGATACCCTCTTTTTAAAGGAGAATCATTCAATCGAATATTATCACTATAAAAATGGAGTCATGTCATGATTCAGATTGTGGACCCTTCCTGATTCAAGAGCCCTCAATTTAAGTTGTGAACCTTTAATCTAGAAGGAAGAAACGTTTACTCTGTAATTCAGTACTTCAGTTAGATGTGATCATCTTCGAACACCAAATGCAGTGGCAGAAAGATTAACCTATAGGTAACACCAACATGTGAGTCACTTCATAAATGAAGCCCAGTCCACTACCCATGAGAAGCAAGAGGAAATTGTCTCATTTCTCCCCTTTTCCTTTGCTTCAGCAAATATTGCATGTGACTAATAGTTGTAAACCCAAGAAATTCCAGTAACATGGGCATGAGCAGACAATTTTATTGAATAAGTCCCGTGACTTCTTAGAAAGTCACGTGGGAGACATGCGGCCCATCTTGCCACCGTGTTTACAATGGACATAAGTTTTTTAACAAAATGGGGATAGCTCATTGGAGAACAGCACGTATCTGTGTTTTTCTGCCACCTGTAAGGGTTGTTCCTCCAAAGGCAGAAGGAGTTGCTGCTCAGGTCCTGTTGGGCCTCAACTTCCAGCCCAGAGAAAAGGCACCATACACTGATCCTAATTGTTTAAATAAAAGTAGAACAGAACCAAATATACCTGTGTTCCTACTAGTAAAAAGGGAACATTAGGTGCATATTCCTTCAACTCCGGTACCCATTCTTCCTTCACATTTTGAAATGAAGCAGGGTTTACCACTGAGAAGCAGATAAGGAAGACATCGGTCATAGGGTAAGATAAAGGTCTCAGACGATCATAGTCTTCCTAAGGAAGAAAAATTCTGTTATCTGCAATATTAAACTGTTGCCTGTATTTTAACAGTTATATTCAGAAACTGTATTTGTATTTCATGAAGGTTGTTGAGGCAAACTTTCTGAATGTTTAAAACTATTCCAAGTTGGTTAGTGTCGCTGTTAGAGCAAAATTTATATATGAAGATAACTATATGTGAATGTAAATATTTTGAAAAATGTGTTAATACTGATAGAAACTTGCTTCTCTATGAGAATATACAGAAGATTACCATTCAAAAAGTTTTCACTTCAGGAAAAAAACAAAAGGCTTATGGTTCAAACATACTTGCAGATCAAAGACTAGTATTTGTAGAGAAATGAGCAGGTGTGACTGCTGTAGAGTCATCCAGGTTATACAAAGCTAGACTAGATTAAGGCTGTTTGATGCACTTAAATGTTCTATTTTGGTTCATACACAGAGGTGATATCTAAAGCCCTCCGTAGAATTTTGTTTCTTAGAAACCTTACAGTCCTGTTCCTAGTGTTCAGGGCAGTAGGCAGGATCAGAAGGGACCTCTTTTGTCTGACTGTGCTTTCTACTAGCAAGCCCAGCAAAGGATTAGATGGAACAGAAATTCAGAATCAAGAACACTATGGAATATTAATGCCTTTATTTGTTTGTTGGGAGTGTGGGAGAGGAGTTAGTGTGAAAAAGTTATTTAGGACATTTAGAGCCCCAGCATTTAAAGTCAGCAGTCCTACTGCCAGGGTATACCATACTGTGGCAAGACAAGTACCTAGGAGCATTGCTCCTCTTGTAAATCAGAGTTCTCTCTAGCAAGGGAGAAAGTGGATTTTTGCCCCATGTTTTAGCTGACAGCCAGAGGGAACATGCCCCAACTTCTCTCTGCAAGGCTTCCTTTGGTCTTTGGTAGTGAACCAATGCCTTACCATTCCTACTATAGAATTTTGGTGGTTTTTGCAACATAGATAACTAAGACTGAGGCCAGGCATTGCAGAGACACTAACAAATGCTGGATTTATACCTTCCACAGTAAACACCAGTTTATTAGGGCTGCTGCAGCAGTTTCCCTTTTTCCCATGTAAACTCCCCATCTTAATTAAATCTCACAAATATTGCAATGATTCATTCATTAAACATAGAGGCAGAAATGTAATTCAAGTCCATGTTTGAAATGAGACAGAAAATTAAATTTTTGTTTCCTTGGGAACAGCCACATTACCAGATTATTAACCTATAGTCACACCCTCAGAAACGCACTTCATTGAGTTGTTAGGTTTTAAACATGGTCACTCGAATTTCAGAAAAACTGTGAGAACATCCTCAGAGCAGTTTCTGCTTGGCTCATTTTTCCATTTGGAAGTCAACAGCTGTGGGAAGAGAGCTGTTATTCTCATGAACTGGAGGAAAGACAAGCACAGGCAGAAATTCTGCAGTAGCAAGGAGGTGATCATTCCTTGTCATACTCTTAAGCCATTTCGAGTATCCACTCTAGTTTTGTAAACAGGCTTGTCAATTAGCTAAAGCATGCTTAAATGTTGACAGGGCTTCCCAGTTTCACAACCACAGTAACTGACACCACTTTGAAGCTACAACATTTGACAGGCCTTTTCCCTGCCAGTGTCAGGGTCTTGCCCTGATTCAGAAGAAGGAAACAGTAACCATGTCTCTTCCAAATTTGTGGACATTCATCATAGAAAGCAGAAATAACTTCAAAACACCAACACAGGAAGTTGAAACTCTTTTAGCATGCAGTTAGATTTTTTAGACATGTATTTTATGTTTCACTTCTACTACTGAATATAGCTAGATCCTGCTCAGGGTTGCACTCTGTTTTCTGGGGTGGAGATTAAAATCCTAAAAGAAACTTCTCAACTACCAATTACTCTGTTCCCTGGAGTACAAAATCTGCATGAAAGAACACACAGTGGACCCATCAGTTGCTCTGAAATTCAGCTCTAAATCATATGTGGGGTATTAGTGAATAAGTTGTATTTTTTAAAAATCTACTTAAAAGCTGTAATTTGTTCCTACTGCCAAAGAGCTGCCATCCCTATACTCTGCATTTTCTAAAAATCTCATATCTGGATTAGGATAACTAGAATACTGCCTGCACTAAAAGCTGGAATGGAGAAAGCCTTTCACTGTCGCCAGAAATTACTGTTAGTCCATTACCTTAAAATAGCTCTTTAGTTAATCCATTTCAAATTACAGATGGACCTTTTATTCATAGCAAATATTAATCATTTTCTTAAAGCCAGTCTCAGGTCTGAGCTCCTTTCCTGCCCTGCATTTGTTTGTGTGCCTTTTGATTTATACCCTGTTCCACTTGCACTGGGCCAGCTGTGGGCAAGTGTATTTAAGAGTTAAACAGAAGGCAGGTACAGTGTGATTGGATACATCATGTACCACAGCCAAAGATGTGTGTGCTATTTGCTGCAGTGGCTTCACTGCATTTAAGCTTCCTTAAATTATCAGAGAATTTGGCCATACCCACCAGCCCCGCTGCTTGAAACATGACAGTGCTCTCAGGCTCTCCTTTGAACCTTGTGTGTGCTCTGAACATCAGGTGTGCATTGACACTAATAGTGGCAGTAGTTCTAACAAAGCCTCCTACCACGTGATTGGAGTGGTCCTGAGTCCTCCTGGGAGAAACTCTGCTTAAATTTTGTCAACATCTAGTAGGCCATCTGGGCTTAAAGACTCCTTCTGCCTCCCAACAGCCCCTCAGAAACAGCAATAAAACCTGTAAACTTTCTCTGATGTATTGGGCCAGCATAACTGCTACAACTGGTAGAAGAATCTGAAATACCAAATTAATTTAGACTGAATGTTAGAGAAGCCTAGAAAAATCTTATTGCTTCAACTATAATTTATTTCTTCAATCTAGTGTAAGGGAAATAAATGTGGTTTATTCTAAAATGAAATGCAATGGCAAAATTGATTATGCTAGCCAGTCAACATAAATTCCAATTTGAGTGCTTGTGCATACCACACTATACAGCAATTAGATAATTAGACAATCTGATTGGGGGAGGCACTGCATATATATTTAGACTTTAAAAATATTTAAGGAGATTAGCAGGAATATTTTAAGAATGTGAATAAGATGGGCAAGAAAGCCCCGAAGGACTGAAATAGTCAGTATAAGTCTCAAAAACTTGAGGCTGTAATAGTGAAACAGCTCATTCTCCAACATACTCTAGAGTTTAAAAAAAATTGTTTGCTGAAGCAGGTGAATACAGAAAATATGAGGGCTATATTAACTTCAGACAAAACTGGACACAAGAATGTTGACTTAATTAATGTTCTGTGGAGCTGTGATCCCTCTAAAAGACATGACACTGCAGCAGGGCTATTCATAATTTCCCTAGTATCCCTGTGGAAAGCCAGGACAGCTGCCAGTACACAACAGACATAAAGAAGGAGATGAGATGGAGCTAAGGACTTGGCTTCTCAAGTACAAACAGGGGGTTTTGTTTTTAAAGGGGAGAATGGAAATTCAGGTTTTAAAATTACCATGTCTTCTTATGGTAGGCTGAAGGTATATCTAGCATTGTCTTTATCTTGGTTCCTGAAAATCAATCCTTTAGGTCTCCTTTTCCATGTTACAGTACCTAATCATCTGCCTGATATTTTCTTCTGTCTTGTGTTTGAATACTGTATTTTGGATGGTGAAGAGGATTTGCTCTAACATGTCCAAAATCTGGCTATTTTCAACATTTACCTGTCCAGAAACAGAGGTCTTGGGAAACTTTTTGTATGCAGACTGAAGAATGATACTGCAATTCCACAGCATTACAATATTCTTCATTTCATGGGTTTGCTCAGACCAAAAGCAGAACACAGTGTCCCGTTTCAAGTCATGCATTTGATTTTGAACTGGTACTTTTGCCCAGTTCTATGGATATCAGCTGAGACACAGCTAAAGAAAAGGAAACTGTATTCCAAATTCTGCCACTGACACAGTTTGTAGTCCTGAGCAAATCATTATCCTCTCTCTGTTTGCATTCTCCCATCTGTAGGGGTTTGCTAGCTTAATAATGCATTAGTCTTTGCAAAGCACTCCAAAAGCCTTTGATGTACACAGCTTATGTGCAGTGGGATATTTAAAAAAAAAAATAAACTCAGACAAAGTGGACTATAATAATTTCTGGACAACCTTCTTGACCCACAGAAAGCACTATTTCCTTATATTTATTAGAACACTGAGGTGAGAGGTGCAGACATACAGAGGTTCTGTATGTAGAGACCTTGTGGCTCCCCTGATTTATGGTATCACACTCCTCCCAGCTCCAGTTGAAGTGATGGACACACTGTCTGTCTGCAGAGACACCCCTCTGTCAGCAGTGTGAGACCACAGGCCTCCTGCTCATCTGGAATGGTATTAGGGTCTCTCTGGCTGCTTCAGAGAGATGGAAAGCAGTTAGTCCTTTGCAGCCAATCCCTCCCACACCTTGACCAAGACCTTTGAGGAAGTCCAGGCCTCAGATCTGCCATTGTAAGTTGTGAAGACAATGTTAACCTAGATCTGTCTGGTTGATTTTTATTTCTTTGCTAGTGTTTTTAAGAAAATAGGAGAAACCAAATTATGGTATATCATTAACACTGATGCAAGGGCCTAAGATGTGTCATGTTTTAGTTCACACTCCGTGTCTTGTTCTGACAGAACCAAAGTAATGAATTCTTTTATGTGTTTTGCAGTTTAGGAATGAAATTTTAACAATGCATCTTCAGTTGTTATACTGACATATCCTTGAGAAACCTGTTTCTATTCCAAGAGGTATAAAGTGGATGGGTGGAAACAAAATAAAGCTTGCACCACTGGAAGAAAAACCGTAGCTCAAAACCTCTGCGTTTGTGATCTGTGTGTTAGCAACCATCTGTTGCTTTCACAGCTTACAACAGCAATCGTAAGGAGAGGTTCTCACTCCCAACCATCTGTTTTTAGAGGGGAAGCCAAAAATAGACATCAGGCAGAGTTGCTAGAGGAATCCAACCTTCATGCAGCAAAGGGTAATCACTACTGCTCAGAGGAGTGCAGTGAGGCAGAGTTTTGCAGAGTAAAATCCTTGGTAAAAGTCTGTTTTAACCACTTCATAGTAACAAGAGTCAGAAGTCTTCTCTCATTATGAATTGCCATATTTCAGTTTTTGAAATGCATTTCAAAGCTGTTCTTCAAGACTGCATTTTTCAGTTTTCCTCCCTGAAAATAAGTTTCTGTTTTAGAAGGCCCCCTGTAATATTTTGGAAAACATAACAAGTGAACCATAATGACTGATGTACATAAATGTGGACTTAGTAACAACTCACAGCTACCTCTGGACACATCTCGCCATCTCCCCCAAATTATTTGGAATTAAAGGCTGATCTGCAGCTTTGCCATAAACACCAGGCAAAGCCTCAAAGGTTTTTGAAAGCAACTGCTTTACTGCAAAAGTACACCAGGAACCAGACTTCACTGAGCTGAATCACCCTGTGGTTTCTGATTCTACACGACACTTGGTGGGGGAGGAGAGAGAGGGAAGTGGCCTGTACTGCCCCATGCCAAGCATAAATTGCTTCCCTGGCTAAAAAACACTCTTCAGATTTTTCAGTCTGGGCTGTGTAACACTGTAACCCTTTGCAAGGAAGGAGGGTGGAGCGTCCCCCAGGATGCTGGTTTCCTGGCACTGCCACTCACAAGGCACCACTAATGCAGGACCATTTGGCATAAAGCTGCAGTTTGGACTGACAGTGCATTGTCTGCTTAGCCAATTCCACGACCCAAGCTCTGATATGCTGATGACTGCATCTGATTTTTCAGTTGTCTACATCTGTAGCCCTTAGCTTTTGAACATGCAAAACAAGAAAGATGCAGTGATTATTCCCTGGCTGCAGGGGAAAAGTGCACTACAGACCCTCTGTCTCTTCACAGGCTTCTGAGGATACAGCTTGCGTTGCTAAAGAAAGCAGAATTGTCCTGTTGTGGTTTGTTAGCACAGGTTTCCCAGAGAGTGTAAAAAGCTGTTGGTTTGGGCCCAGCATCTATTTTTAATTTATAGAAAAGGCTGCAAGTATGCAGAGTAAGTGCTCTTCCATTGTATTCTAAAAATGAAGTAAACTGATCTAAATCCATTTCTGAATTCCTGTGAGGAGGACTGTTCAAAGGACATATGAATTATACATTGAAAAAGCCCAGGGTTTGTGAATTACCTTTTTTTTAATAACAAAACTTTCCTCCTGGCATATTTGAGAACTGTGCAGCTGCTTACATCTCTGAAAAGCTTTTCTGGATAGACAGAAATAACTAGCTGGAAGATGGAGCCTAGTTAAGATGGATTTTAGATCATTAGAGACAGGAAGGACAGCATATTTCTTATATTATATACAAAACTGCCTTTAAATGATCAGATTTTATCCTGGCCTTAATATGAGATTCAGTACTGTCCAAATGCAACATCTTGCCATGTGGTGATGCTAAACTACTTTCCTAGATGGTTTCAATGGCACAATCCCTTCTCTCCATCACCATGAGAACTTCAACTTGCTGGTTGGTTTTCTAAAAGTGAAACTCCCTGAATTTTCTGTATAGGGCTTATTATTTTAGCATCTGTATCAACAGAACATGTATTCAGCTGACTGCAGGCACAGTTTCACTTGAACACCTTCATCTAAACCTGTTGTCTACCCACTATGGAGCTCCTAAGAAATGGCAGCATAGCTGGCATGGACAAACCCTTTCACTCCTTGCCCATACGAAATTTCAGTCCTGCTCTGCATTTCTTTCTCACTGTCAGTGACTTTATGAACAGCATTTTTTCCACACCAGATTTCCATTTTCCTCAGGAAGGGAATTCACCCCAGTTGTGTCTGCAGCCATGAACAATCAGGATTTTCCATTCTTATAGATACAGCAAATAAAAAATAAAATGCACCCTGACACAGGAGATCTGGACAGATCCTCTGCAGAACCTGGTCTTTGGAAAGATAGATTCTCTGACTTTATTTTCACAGAAGAATATGACCTGTTGTCACAGGCAAGACAACCTACAGAGTAGAGTTGGTTTAATACAGTTATCCATATAATATCAGATATGTCTTTTAATTTGCTACCTGTATAGAGACTGATTAGACAAACAAGACTAATCAGATAGGTGTCCCATTCCTTTTCACCTTTTACAAATGAGCCCCAAAAGCACATTCTTAAGTCCAGTGTTGAGGAACACATAGAAGACTACAGCTTTGCTGCCTCCTCAAGGTTAGTTCCCATCACACAACTTCTCAGGAGAGTGCCAGGGCCATTATGTGCACCTTGAATGAACACATCACAGTGAAAGTTTCTGGAATGAAAGGAGTTCCTAAGAGTCTTCTGCACCTTGTTTTATATCAAGTCCCATTTGCTGGGGCTAACTTCAGCTCCCACTGAAGAATGTGATAAAACACTGAAGAATGTGATAAAACACTCAGCAGATGTTAAGGCAATTGAAAGAAAAACTGTAGGCAGTTTTTCTTAGGTGAGGAGTTTTTAAGCCATCTCACTGCCTGTGGCTGGCCTATCTGTTGTTTATAACTAAAGACACATCCCAGGTCACACCTGGCATCCATCCCTTCTTGACTCCAACACTGAATCCCAGCTGGAAATTGGACCAAGGAAGTAGCACTAAGTCCTAATGATGATCTTAAAGCATTCGTGACTACATGTAATTTAGAGCACAAGCTGCCTGAGGTACTCTGAATCTGTGTTTTATTCATGTGGAGCAATATACTCACCTAGGATGCTGACAGATGTTGCTTTGCTCTGGAGAATAATGCTGCCACCTGCATTTTTATGTGCACACCAGTGAGTGCCTGGCATAGCAAAGAATTATTGCACACGTGCCACAGCACAGATGCAGCATGGAGCAGGATTAAAACAGACTGGGGACAGTAACTGTAAAGTGTCAAATGACACAACCTCTTCAGAGCTGCTGAAAGTGTCACGTAGCACTCAGACATTTTTCTTAACACAACTCACCCAATCACCAATTCAAACAAATAGACTGCTTATAAAACCACAGAACAGAGCACTAAAACGACACAGTTCTTCTCCTCTGTGTCCTTATTTTGCATTTTTTTCTCATTAGGGGAGGAGCAATTTTGTTAGAAATGCAAGTGCTAATTTGGAGGCTTAAAAAAAAGTCCTGAAGTTCTGCCCCAAAGCATCCATTTTTGAGATGTTGAAGTTTATTATTCCCAATAGAACTGCAGGATTTTGAATCAGTGTGCTTTGTATTATTTCTTAATTACCAGGTTCCTGGAGTCTCTATAAAGAGACATCCTTTTCACTTTTAAATGAAAGATTAATTTCTAGTACCCCACAGATACAGAGAAAGGTTGATACATGAAGATAGATGAAGGCCAAAAATTTAAAGAAGACCCACATGCAGCAAAGGGCAAAACCATTTTAATTTCCTAGATTTTTGGAGTAGTGGTGTATGTGGGTAGGAAGAACTGGCTCATCATTTTGAATGCGCAGGACTAGCAAAACTTTGCTGAAGTAGGTTTTACATCCACTTTGTCCATGTGTTCTTAATAAGGAACTGGAACAAAGTTTACTGAAATCAGCTGTAGGGTGCCAGCTAACACAGAGCTTTGGATTAGACCCTAACATACCCTTTTACATTGCAGGTCCATGCTATGGAGACAGTGCTCCATCTAATTTTGTTTACTTTCTTTTAAGATGTAGTTTGGAGGCTGAATCAGGAGCTAGGCTATAAATGAAAACTGCATTTTTTTATACTTCTCCTATTTACCAAAGTATGTAGAGTTCTTTGCAAAGAAAACAGATTTCAATGGAGAAGTCTGAGTATGGACCTGACAAAAATTCCCAGGGTCTCATATGTTCTGTATCAGAAAAACTCCACAAGTCATACTACCTTAGCCAGTTGTCCCATTCCATCACCCCTGCCTCCTGCAGCACAGCTGTAGATTATATGATACTCAGCTGAGTGCAGGTGCACACACCATCTTAAAATGAACTCTGGGAAGTAAGAGGATATGCAATAACGTTGTGCTGGAGAGCAGTAACTGTTTGTATTCAGTGTTGCCTTTTTAGCTGGTCATGTTTAGATAGCATTGTAAGATGCCACTGTGCCTCAAAGAAATTAAAAATTAGTAAAATTCAGACAGCTCTCTGTCACAAACTAAAGGATATCTATTGAGTTTTAACCCAGGAAAAAAGGGCTTTTTACTTGGCCATGTAATCAGTGTTTAGCAAGGGTCCATCCTAGGTCAGTAGTCTCCATAAAAATGTGCTTTTAACATATCAAAAGTTGAAGTTTCAGAGAACCTGTCAAACTTGGTTTGCTTTGTGTTCTTTATTTTGTTCTGCCATTAACTTGCTGTTAAAGTGGCAAAGATATTCTGGATCTACATTTTCAAATGCATCCCTTAGATTTGGTTTTAACATAGCTCAGTGTCGCTATTCAGAAGTACCGTGGGGCTTTTGGCACTCTGAAAATGAAATGTAACTGTCTTGAGTTTCCAACATCTATCTAGTGGATGCTTCTGGGAACTCAGAACACCATCTCCCATTCTGCAACTCCCCATCTGGTGATAACAGTGCTTACCTATCCTTCTAGGAAAGCTGCCGTGCTTTCAAAGCATGAGTCACAGCTCACGAAGAGGCGTTTAGATGCAGGCTTTGCACTGACAGTATTATTGTTGCAAGGCCATTTTTAATAACCAATCTGAAGGTATAAGTCCTTTT